ATCATTCGCCATTTCTTATCCCTACATACTTCATCTCTTATGGTGATAACCATCTTTTACACCACATGCTTTATTGTGTCAATAATGCCATGTAGATCTTTTTGTGTCCACCTGTCCACCTGTCCACCTGTCCCACAATTATATTTTAACACTACATTCTGTTTGTAAATATTCTAGTTTTAAGCTGTTTTATTTAATTTTAATTCTGTTATCACTCACTAATTTATGTACTTCACATACATTCTGTAAATTGCCGTTTGGCATATGTGTTAAATAAAATAAATAAATAATTTGAAATGTATAATAAATTATATACTTCTTTGTTATAATTTTTGTTCACAGTTCTTGAACTCCAAAAAAAATGGAAATCTCTTAGAGATTGTTTCCGTAGGAAATGTGTCACCAAGTCAGGGCAGGCAGCACAAATAACTCACAAATATATTTATGCAGATATTATGGAATTTTTGAGGCCTACTATGTTAAATCGAACGTATGTTACTCAGTATGCAAACAGATCATAAAATGTATATTATAAAAAATGTTATTGTTTTAGAACGGAAAGTAATTTTGAACAYAGTGATGGGGACGGAGACAAGGAAGAAGAAGAGAACAATGAAATAACTGAAGTTTCAAATAACATAGCAATGGGGCATCATGATGAAGAGTATACAAATACACYTAAACGTAAGAAACTTATCAATAAAAAGCCAGCAGATTTTGAAACCCGTTTGATAAATATTTTCGAACAACGTAAGACAGAAGAAGACCCTGAAAAACATTTTTTGCTGTCTCTTTTACCTCAAATTAGATTGTTAACAGAAGACCAAAAAACACAGCTTTACATTGACATTCTAAACAGCATCCAAAGATTAAAAGGTTCTTCAAATGCATCATCATTTAACCAAATACCAATTGCTAATGACTATTCAACTCGGAGCCATCATAATATTTACAATGTTCCCCCTCACTATCCATCACAAACCAATTCCATTCCAACTTTAAACCACCATAATTATAAAGTAAATACACAATCTCCAATATCAGTCGCCCATGTTAATAAAATAAATCCCTATAGTTCATCTGGCATTCAAACACACTCTGCATCCCAAATTGTTTCAGTTCCAATTGAAAATTCTTATTACAGTCCAAATTCACAATCGCCATCTGTATCCAGCACTCTTTCAAACATAAACTATCAAAATACTTTCAACATTCCAACAAAATATTCATCTCCTTCTACTTCTATCCCAACTAGCCACCATTATAAGCTTAATACCCCATCAGAGTCTCCAATACAAACCACACATGTTAACAAAATAAATCATTATAATGCATCTTCTCTTCAAGAATTGTCTACATCTCAAACTGCTTCTATTCCCACTAAAAATGTTTATTACAATTCTAATTCTCAATCTCCACAGTAAAAATCCAACTAATTTAATTGCAAGTTGCAATTTAAAAATATAATACAATACAGACAGGATTAATATTGTATTTAGTTTAATGTTATATTTATTTTTATTTTTATTTGTACTGAATTTTATTGAAAATTCATATAGAAAAAGAAAAATTGATATTTAGTTTTATGGTTTTGAAATCAAAATGTTTAAGTTWTAATTTGTTTTTATTTAATATTTTGTAACTAAACAAGTTGTTTAATAAATATTTTTACCTTAACGTCACAGTAAGTCTTTCTTCTGCTGGAATTGGTAAACGCAAACAGGTAACTTGTTTTTGAAGTTTGA